TCTCTCCCTGGGCATCGGAAGGCGGGCGGCAGCATCCTGGGGGAGCAGCGGCTCCGACACCGCTCCCACTATCCCAGAGCACAAGGGGAGGTGAGGCCCAGCCAGCAAACCCGGGACGGCCAAGGACCCACTTTACGTAGTACCACGGTGCCAAAATCCCAACGCCAGCACCAGTAAAGTGGCCGGAGGAGAGAGGGACACTACCCACGCGGTCGGCAGGGCTGTTCTGGAAGGCAGGGACAGCCTGCCCCCGCCCTGCCTGTGGAGCCCGCCAGACGCCTCCAGGGCGGGGCAGTGTCCACGTGAAAGGGTGCATGCCGCGAGTGGGGGGAGCGTGGGGGGAGTGGGAGAGGCTCGCCAGAGGGGACGGGCACCCACACAGCGCTCTAGAAGTGCTGACGGGTGCGCCGCAAGGCGGGGGTGGGGGAGGAAGTAGGCAGTGACAACACTGGTTCCTGGCAGATGCCATGGTGGCCACCGGGGAACTGTCAGGACCTAACGAACTGCCCAGGTACAACAGGAGGCGGGGAGACAGCTTTCTCACACAGCAGCAACGCCCCCGAAAGCAACGAAACACGCTCCCCTGAGTGACGGAGACGCGGTGCTGTGAGTCGCTGAACGCACAGACACATCATGAGCAAGCCAGCACCGCCACAGTCCTCACGCGGGGACAGGGCACAGAGGGCCTGACCTGCTGGGGGTGACAGCGGGGAGGATAAGCTGGGAGGGCAGGCAGTGGCCCAGACACAGGTCACAAACACCCTGCGGGGGAGAGGGGAGTCTGACTCCAGCCTGTGAGAGGAGAGTAAGTCACCCCAACACCTGGGGAAGAACCCGGGCAGGGGAGGGCAAGCGTGGGCATGGAGAGACCACGGTGACAGCACGGCTGCTTAGCTGAAGCTCAGAGCTGGAAGGGCAGGGACGAGGCCAGCTCAGTGAACTTCGGAGTATCGGATGCCCGCTGGGGTGACCATCTTGTCCTGATGCCGCTGGCCCAGCACACAAAGGGAGGAATATGGCCCTTCCGGAGTCTCCAGTGCAGGATTCACCATATGTGCCCAAGGATCAAGGTGCAAACCTGCCCTCTGCCCCCCATCTAGGCCATGGACACCGGCCAGCGTGGGGCCCATGGACTCTGCAAGGGCTAGATGGGTCAGAGCCAAGTGTACAGACAAGAGACATGGGGGTACAGAGAAATGGGGGTGGGTGCAAAACCCACAAAGGTTCCACTGAGGTTTACACACACACCCAGGCAGAGCCCCACCATGTGTGTGTACACACACACACACACACACACACACACTGACCTGGGACACAGACACATCACCCCCCCACACACACACACACACACACGCTGTGGACACACAACTCTGCCCAGAAACTCAGACGGGGCGGAGGGAGGGTAGACCGTGGCCTGCCACGGGGAAGCCCCCCAAGGCCTGGGCCGCCCCTCCTGGGGAGCCCGACCTACGAAGATGCTCCACCTCCCCCCCGGCATAGCTTCCAGGTACTCAGGAGAGGAAGGAAAATGGGGAGACAGACAGGTCTGCACCCTCCCTACCGTCAGCCCCACACCGCGCCCCCAGGTGCTGGGATGTGGGGCAGACAGGGAGACTGAGGCCCACAGGCCACAGTGCTGTGTACGCTACACCCAGCAGAACAGTGGGCTGGGTGACAGGGCCCGGGAGACAGTCTCTGCCCACCTGCACGGGACTCAAGGCGCCTGTGACCAGGGGCAGGTGGGGACGAGCAAACAAGCAGACACAGGGCCACGGTGCCTCCGCTGCCCACCACAGCCGTTCAGCGCCACACCATGGAGGGTTCGCCTGTGGCCCCACCGCTGACAGTTGTGTGGTGACTGCAGGTGACAGAGCAGACCCTTCTCAGCTCTGCAGACTGACGCGGTTGCCCACGGTGCTCGGAGGGGCGGCATTCCCCAGAGGCCGGGGCCACCCGGGCCCCTGCGGCTGCTCTGCAGACTCAGTGTGGGGGGGCCTCCGCCCTGCGCATGCTCGGGTCCCTCTCACGGCGTCCAGGCGAAGATGCCGTGGTTCTGCGGCCCTAGACGGGACTTCACCGCCCTGGGCCTCGGCCTGCCCATCTACGAAGCAGGAGTACAAGGGAGCCGAAGGACAGCGCCCTCGGCGGCCGTCACTGTCACCACTGCTCCCGGGAACAGGGCGCTGACAGTGCAGGGACCCCAGCTCTGGCTCCCACCCACACGGCGCGCAGGGGCCACACGACAGCTTTGCCTTCACCCACGGCAGGGCGCAGCCGTGGAAGGAGCAGCCCCCCAGCGGCTCGGGGGTGGGGACCAACCCAACGCCATCCTAGGCGGGTTCCAGGCTTGGCGCCACACCTTCATCCAGAGACTGCAGGCAAAGTACTTGTCCTCTCTGGGCCTCGGTTTCCCCATCTGAAGCGCAGGAGGCAGCCTAGGGCTTGAGCGCTCTGAGACTTGAAGGCTTCTCCACCACCGGCTCTCCTCACTGAGCCCCATGCCCCCGTCGGATAGACGGGCCGGGCACATGGCCCCTGAGATCAAGGCCCCCACGGGCAGGACTGACAGCATGCGCTTCCCCGTACCAGCTGCAATCCAGATCCCCACACTCCCAGCCCTGTGTCCCCAGAGCCTCAGACACACCCTGAGCCAGGCCAGACTTGGGGGGCCCCTCCTCAGCCAAGAACACACTATCAAGTCACGGAGCGTCTGCAAGCCTCTTGACCACCCCAAAGGCAGGAACCTGTCCTCCCTTGAGGGAGACACAGGAGCATGGGGTGAGGGGACAGGGAACTACCTGCCTTCGGCACAGGGGTCTATCTGGGACACAGAGGGGTGTGGGGGCCTGCATCCTTAGGGACACTGCATCCTGCAGGTCCTACCTCCGGAGCTGGTCTACACCTGACATTTGAAGCGGCCCACGTGGAGGCCAGCAGAGGTCTGAGGCGGGGCGGGCAGGGGCCTGGACTCGTGGTGCTGGGTCTCAGTGTACCCATCTGTGCAGCAGGCAAAAAGCAGTGCCAGCCAGGGTACCCGGTCGCTGCAGGCTGGCCTGAGGGAACCGCCACACCTGAGCAAGAAATGAGGCCACCCAGAGTGCCAACCCGGAAGCTAGGACACGCGCAGAAGCCCATATGTTCTGAGGCATGTGGACCCCTCCCTGAAGGGAAGAGAAAGGTGCATGGAGTGCCCCGGGGGTGACATGGCTGTGTGAGCGCCAAGCAAAGAGCAGGATCACCTCCCTGGGCCCTGGCCTGGCTGCTCGGAGCCTGCAGAAGTCCCCCAAACCCAAGGCTTCACTTCCAATGTCCCAGTCCGAGGCAGGAAGGGCACAGCCAGAGCCACTGTGGGCACCACGTGGACCCTGTCCACAGGCTCGTGTCACCAGGGCGCACTGACCGGCCTTAGCCTCAGCCTTCCTGACCTCGGCGCCTCCCTTCGCTTGTTCACTCGACCCCACAGGGAACACACAAAACCGAAGTGGTGCCTGTTCACGTCTAGCTCACAAGTTCTGTGACAGCCACAAAACAGAGAGCAAGTCCCAGGCCAGCTTCAGAGACAGAGGTGACTTACAGGAAGGAAAGCTGTGACACAGCACAGGGAGGTCCGAAGGATGCCGCCTCAGCCTGTCACCAGGAGGGCCTCTCTGAGTGACATTTGTGCCGAGACCTGGAAGTGCCAAACAGCCCAGGCAGAAGGTCGGCAGATGGGGAGGCCCAAGGCGGCACAGCCTGAAAGGGGCTGGGTGCCACTGGGAGAGGGTGTCAGTGGGAGAGGCCGGCCGGAAGGTGGGTGGTGTCACCACTCGGATGCTGCAGGGCAGGACCTGGCTTGTATGAAGGCAGAAAACTCAGCCCTGGGGCCACCTCTTCCCAGAGCAGAGCCCAGCAAGTGCCACACCACACCACACCGAAGCGCCTTAGCTGGTGACCTCTTGGCCCAGGAGCCATCTCAGGCCCCACGGATGCGCACGACAGGGGATCCAGGGCTATGTGGCCAGCACAAGCTCCGACACAGGTGCCCCACCTCTGCGCCTCCACCTGCCCAGACAGAAAGTGACAAATCTGTCCCTGGCGCCACCTTCCCCTGGCTGCCAGCGCCTGACCCTGAGGCTCTCCACAGACCCGGAAGACCCCAAGGAGAGAGCTCACTGCAGGGACTTGCAACGGAGGACCCTTCCCCTACCCCAAGCTCAGACTCAGACTGGGAGATCACAGGTCGTTGGCCCCCAAGCCCCAGGAAAAGGAGGAGGGGGCTGCTGAGTGATCCCTAGGACCCCAATCCCAGCAAAGGCCAGTCCCTCAAAATCAGTGCTGCACGGGCTCCCCGGAGGGTGGAGGTGCTGGCTGGCCGAGGCTCCCAGGACTCCAGGGCCTGGCCAGCATTTCTACACAGGCCAGTTCCAGGAGCTCTCAGCTGCCAGCACACCCTACTCTGACAGTACGCAGGTCCCTCTCCACTCACCTGGATTCAGGCAAGCAGGGCAGCATTTACTCAGCAAATGCTGTGCATGATAAATCATCCAGACAAGCAATACTTTTTGTCATCCTATTAAAGCATGCAGCAAGCTGCTGTCACCCAGAGGGATCCTAAGATATGACCCTCCTCCCATCTTAAAAAGAAACCTCCAGGGATTAGAGGACCAGGAAGAACCTCAAAGTATCCATTTAATCGCTGCCTCCACCAAGCCCAGCAGTGCACACCTCCCTAGCACATCCTGAGCCCTTGTCAACTGATATTTTTGCAACAGAAACACAATCGAAAGAAAGAGCCCGATTGTCCAGCCAGACCGCCCCCACCTGGGTAGTGTGATTTACAGGTTTCTCTCCTCAGCAGCTCGATACGAACACCCCCATAACCACGGTAAGCTGTCGGGTCCGCCAGGAGCCACCGGCCGGGCGCGCGGGGCCCACGCGGCCCGGGAGCCCTGAGGGGTGGGTGTGCCCGTGCCCCAAGGGCTGGCGTTTCCAGGGGCGCCCCGCCCGGCCGCCCCACCTACCTCCAAGGCCTCCAGCGTGCTGAAGCTGGCAATGGCGAACCCGTCGATGACCTCTTCCTCTTGCGAGCTGGACTCGCGGCGACG